ATATTATTTTCTGTTTTATATTCTAAAATCAGATTTAGTCAGTGTTTTTTGATGTGTATAAAACCTCTTGGTAAATTTTGTGCAAACACAATGTTCTGTGTAATTTGAACCGTTTACACAGAATTTTGCATTTCATGTTGTGACGATGTGAAATTTAAGGTCTTTATGGAGGTTATATGTTTGGTTTTATTATAAATAGATCTGGGTAAAACAGTGTCTATATAGTTAATAAATGGGTTGGCTCTGGATAAGCTCTGGGTCGGCTCTATGTCAACTCTGGGTCTGGTCTGAATCGGCTCTGGGTCGACTCTAGATCGGCTCTGTGTTGACACTAGATCGGCTCTGGATTGATTCTAGATAGGCTCTGTGTCAACACTGGGTCGACTCTAGATAGACTCTGGGTCGACACTGGGTCGACTCTAGATAGGCTCTGTGTCGACTCTAGATCAGCTCTGTGTCGACTCTGGATCAGCTCTGGGTCGGCTCTGCGTCGACTCTAGATCAGCTCTGGGTCGACTCTAGATCAGCTCTGGGTCGGCTCTGTCCACTCTAGATCAGCTCTGGGTCGACTCTGTGTTGACTCTAGATCGACTCTGGGTCAACTGGGTCGGCTGTGTGTCGACTCTAGATTGGCTCTGGGTCGACTCTAGGTAGGCTCTGGATCAGCTCTGGGTCGACTAGATCGGCTCTGGGTCGACTCTAGATCGGCTCTGGGTCGACTCTAGATCGGCTCTGTGTCGACTCTAGATCGGCTCTGTGTCGACTCTAGATCGGCTCTGTGTCGGCTCTGGGTCGACTCTGGGTCGACTCTGGATCGACTCTGGGTCGACTCTAGATCGGCTCTGGGTCGACTCTAGATCGGCTCTGGGTCGACTCTAGATTAACTCTGGGTCGACCCTAGATCGGTTCTGTGTCGACTCTAGATCGGCTCTGGGTCAGCTCTGTGTTGACTGTGTTAGCTCCGGATAAGCTCTAGATCCGCTCTGGATCGGCTCTGGATCACTGCCTCCTGACAGCGGTGTTGTTCTGCTCTTCGGCTTGGCTGTYGCTCCATTACCTCAACCTGCACCTACTAGGGATGCACTTATCTCACCTTTTCCTCCTGTTACTGGTAGGTGCAGCAAACGTTCATATTTAAGGGAACTTGACTTCTTTCAAACCCGAGAAAAGTTTATCTGATTTTACGAACGCTCTTTTCTTCGCTCGCCCTCTTTTTGTTTGGCTTCTGTAAGAAACCGGGTTCTGTCTGGTTTCAGACGTCCTCCTTTAGTTTGATGTATTTTGAGCTTCCTGTAAGTCTTGCATTCCATCCTCTTTGTGTATCTTGTTTAAGTGACATAGCCCTTTCTTTTTTCTTTTTTTTAATTACGTGCTACTTCAGCTACCTTTAGAGGAAACAAGGTGATAAAACCCAGGATTCACTCACACCATGTTTTATGGCYCCGAGTTGATCAGCTACAGGGAAAGTTCAAGAAATAATCCTGAGAAAGATGCCAGAAGTTAAAAACAAACATATCTCATGCAATCAGTTGCTGTGATGAATTTTACGTAACAGATTTGTATATTGGTTGATCCAAAGAGTTGATGAACAAAACAGAACTATTGACTTATTGTACAGAACAGTGTATCTTTGACTTGTCATGTGTTATGGTGAAATTATTAAAAGACAAACCAGCGGTTTCATACCCCTCTGCAATCTTATTCTTTTTTTTTTTTTTTCGCCTTTTTTATTTTAATCTCGCATTTATTTTACACACAGTTTTTTGACATTCCAGTCCTGACAGCAAAATGTATCTGGGCCAAAACTAGGACAGCATTTCAGGGTTCGTGCAGGTTTCAGTAGGTTAAATTTAAGACCTTTTAAGACCATTAGAGATGACATTTAAGACCAAACCGATGCATTAACAGGAACATTCAAATGGTCCCAGAAATTTTAACATAGAAACCTTTTATTGCTATAAATTTAGCTATTAAAGAATATTTAATCTTAATATAAGAACACTAAATTATTTTAATGAAACGGTCATATCTATGAGACCGTCACATCGGCTGCTGTGGACCGCTTTTAACTCAGTGTGAGAATCACTGATTTGTAGTTTGTGTTCCAAGACCGTAGCAAACAGCATTTCATGAAGTCAGATCGCGTCAACCTCTGATTCTGGTGCGAATATTTTGTTGGACCACCTTCAGCTTTGYTTACGGCACGTATTCTCTGTGGCAGGGGTGGGCAATCCTGGTCCTGGAGGGCCGCAGCCCTGCAGGTTTTATTGTTTTCTCTGCTCAAACACACCTGATTTGAATGAATTGGTGATTATCAGGCTTCTGCAGTACGGAGGACCGAAACTGACATAATTAAAAATAAAAGCAGAAATGTATAAATTGACAAATAAATAAATACTTAAAGTGCAC